TCTATAAATAACTTAATATTGATCAAAATATAGCCTAATGTTTTATAAAAGCATAGATTAAGAAGATAAAGGAGCTTGAGCTTGATTAAAGAATACTTTAAGAACAAATCGGAGCTAAAGTTTTACTTGTTCTTTATTCAATGTGTATATAGGATAAGCATTAAATCGATACAACCATAGGCCATTAGAAAACCTTTATTTCTAGAAAATGACTAAATACAACTAAGTGCACTAAATAATATTACATTAATGCTTATATAATATATAATGTTTTTCATATCACCGAAATACGATAACAGCTTTATATTTATATTACCCAATACTTAAATAGGAGTTTTGACATTGATATACTTTTTTTATTAACCATAATATGGCATTAATCATTATTAGATAAAATAAGTGCATTTAAACAGATTCGAAACTTGACCAGTGCTGATTAAAAATGTTAGTATGACTTTAGGACATAGATCGGTACTTATTTTAGTTAATATATTATTTATGTGCTACTTGGGATGTTATTTCGAAATATTATTTGTGAAATTATGATAAGGAGCTTAGAAGTTCAATACTGAATATATCACTGTGCATTTGTAAACATCTCGTCAGATTATTTTAGTCTCGGTAGTTAAAGTATAATAATTCTAGCAACATTGTAAACTTGTGACGGGTTCGATGCTTGGGCGAATTAATGAAAGGCTGACTAAGCTTGAGAATTGATTTATTTTATAACAAATATGTAAAGGGTAAAGAATAAAACCCTTTTTGGGTTTGCCTTGATACATAAACTTGGACAGTACATTATTTTATTTTAAATAAATATATAATTTCTATTTTAATAATAATAACTTCATTATTATAATATTTTATATTTAAATTTATACGATTTACAATAACATGTTCACAACAGAAGATTTATTTATGAACTGACATTCATAAAGAATATATTTGATTAATCAAAATTTCTAATTACGTAAGGTGAATAATAAAAAGAAAGGATGTTGAATATCAAAGACAAAAAGTTTGCATGCTGAAACCTAGGACGACATAAACGGTGGTACGGCACACCGTTACAAACTGGCGACGCATTTTAATTTTACAGTGACATATAACCGGTTAAAATAAAATTACCGTCCTTTTTGCTTCGCCGTTGTCGCGGAAAAATTACGAATATACTTGTTTTCTGTCTTCAATCTCATCAAAGTGTTTAGGCTGAGGTTAATTGGCGGGTATTCCATTTTCTTGGCGTAAAACGGTAAATAAATTTTTACACAATAAAGCGAGACGGAAGCTTTCGTAATCACCGAGGGATTACACTCCCGTCGGGCGTTGCTTACTCCCCACGGACCGTCGAACTAATTGAATATTTTTTTTCTAAGCGCAACCCATGCCGAGTGGAAAAGAGTTCTAATATTTTTTTTAATGAGATTTCAAATATTGTATCTTATTTAGAACACGATAATTACTGTTGCGTAGTATTTTTAATAGGTTTGGTCCAGAAGTCACGCTAAGCCGTTGGTCCCGGCTGCATCTGCACTCGTTAACACCTACTAATTCGTACTGGGCACGCGAAGTGAGTCATAGTCTCTTTATTCGACTTATTCGTTTCCATCCATAGGGAAGGCCAGTGCCCCAGCAGCAGGGATATTTATAGGCTGGTGATGGTAATGAGGATTTTTGATTCTATTCGAATAAAGTTTGATATTTAAATGATATTGACGATAGTTCAAATCTTATTTACTTTGAAAAGTAATTTATTGTTTATGGTTTAGACAAAATAATAAAAAAAAATAGCTTTTCGTACGCCTGTTGAGGTATTTCCGTTAGTATCGCCTAGTTATACCAATATTTAAAAATATTTTAAAATAAAATAGCAATTTCTAAAGGTAGCTGTAGCGTAATTAATAAACAGCTGGTTAATAATTAAATATCTCATTGAAGATGTTGAGCTTAGAATCTAATATTATGTAAAGCCAATGTAAACTAATGGCGATAATAGATGGGCTATTACGCGCCCCACCACGAAACAGGGCCGAGAACGACAAACAACGAGCGAGTTTCACTCAAAATAATAACATTTCTAGGTAGAGATCTAATTAAATGTCGTAGTTATATTAAATTGTTTAATGTGTTTGATTAATATTATAATGTTTATTTCTACATTATTATTTTACAAGCGATTCAAAATACGAATATCGTTTCGGATAAATTTTCCTTATCGATAAGTTTAAAAATATAAATTATATGTTATAAATTATATATAACAGTAAAAAGAAATAATATGAAATAATTACATCTTTATGTCGTTGAACTAAGACTTTATAAAATAAATGAGACTTAAGACAAAAAAATATATATTTGCGATTCTCTATTGGACGTTGCTTTGCTATAAATGGATTGGGAAAAGCTATCTTTGTTTTCGCCTACAAAATATGGAAGTATCGTGCAATTACATAATTTTCTATTTAAGACAACGGTTTCATAGCGCGTCTTTTTGATTCCAAAAGTTGCAAGTCCAAAAGCTTTAAAACTTAGCTTTTGTCCGGTTTTTGCGCCCGCGGCTCTTGTACGTTGAGATTTTTTTACGGATCTCTAATTTCGTAATATCGTGGTTATATTGCTGAAGTTTTGAGTTTGGTCTACTTTGAGAGATTCATTGTTATTAAAACAGTGATTTCATTTTGATTTATGCTTTTTTTATTTAGTTACACATATAATCTTGTGTTCGAAGTATTTTTTTGCTTATATTTTTATTAGACTCATGTAGTGATTTCTACAATTTCATTAAATATTTTCTTTTTAAATCTTACTTATATTTAACTTATTAGGTTAACGTTATTGAATTTGTCTTAACATGTAATATAAAATAATGTCGATAGTAAGTAGAATGAGGTAACAATCGACCCGTTGGGAACAATAATATTTTACCAATGTTACCCGAACAAAAGGTGGAGTCTGCCTTAAAGTAGATTGGACGTTGGCTATTACATTCTGTATTTTTTTTTATTTGTTTGATCAAATGTTGTGATCTAAAAATATTACGGCGCGATGTGCTATCACGTAGAGCCAATATAATACTGACCAACAAGGTATAGCCCTTCTAGCTTTAATTTTAGTGTAAAATATGTATGACATTTATTTTCAGATACGGACAAAACTTCGACAAAACTGAAATGGTAAATTTCGCAATCTAGACATTTCATTGAGGGAGTTAATATCATCGGGATTATTATGTAACTTGCGGTGGTCTAAACTACTGATGATTAGTCCCTCTAGAGACCTTACTCGGCTCAAAGCTACATATTTATTTTTTTACCAAAATACAACAACAAGATTCGTAAATATATATTTAAATTATTTACGACTAAACTAAAAAAGAAGTGTAAAGACGAATCGCTCAACTTAAAAATAAGCCACGTTCGAGTCGGACTAGCGCACAAAGGGTTCCGTACCGAAAACAAACAATAACGTTTGTTGTATGGGAGTCCCTTAAATATTTATTGTATTCTGTATTTTAGTATTTGTTATTATATCGGCAACGGAAACACATCATCTGTGAAAATCTCAACTGTCTGATTATCACGTTTCATGAGTTACAATCTGATGACACCAAAAATCACGTTTGATGTATGGGAGCCCCCTTAATAGTAGTTTAGTAAGACTAAACTCAGCTTATTTTAAGTAAGCAATTCAATTACAAAATAATTTTCTTTTTTACTGTAAGCTAATCGTTCACTCAGTTTTTACGCAACCATTTGCAGGCAATGTTTTTAGAAATATTTCTAAATCAGTATTAACCTTCAAACTTTCAACTTTTGTATTAAAACGTGACCATTTTTAATCCCTCTGAAGCTTTATAAAGTTGACGCAGGATATTTTGGTACACGTTATTTTCCTTTTGACGTGTTCTAGATATCCGGCTGATTAATTTCTATGAGTTTCTAATCTGTTCACATTATCATAATTTATTCGTACAAAGATTTTGTATAATATATTGAATACTTTTCTTAGTGTTAAACTGTTGTGCTTTTTTATGGTAGAAAGAAAGAATTCTCATGACATTTGAGCTAGTTTGTAGACTTGTCAAAAAAGGACGTTCTTTATTTAAATGTTGAAATTTGAAATTGATCATCATCACCATCACCTATTTATTAATGTCCCCACTGCTGGGGCACAGCGCTGGCCTTCCCTATGGATTGAATCGAATTGGGAGATTATTGTTCATTGTGTTGTAATTAGATTGTTTTGTTGGATCGAATACTTGCAGCTTTGCTGTGATGGAATCGAGTATACAAGTACTATTAGTTTGAAAAATTATTATCTCAAGCTACTGCTACCGTTTGTACCGATGCAAACTGTGTATTTCAGAGTGAGGTATATACATATAATTTTACTCGCAAATATTTTAACTTTGTAAGTTCATTGACCACGATCACTTTCATTATTCAATATCGTAACGGCCACTGAGGTATTATGTTGGATCGCGAATAGATTGATATAAAACGACATTAGAAACGGATTGGCATATAAATTACGAGGTCTGTTGCCAAGGACCGACTTAACCGACAAAATGATAGCTATCTCTTCTTTTTCCGCTTCGAAATACTTGAAATAACTGGCTATCGAATTATTAATGTTTGATATTTAATACACCTTTTTACATCGTTCATAAACATTTTTTTTTTACATCAATTTTATATAAAAACATACTTTTTAAAATTCGCAATCGCATGTTATTTCCAACTGTTCGCTTTTAGTCAACTTTAACAAAGCGTTCACATACGTGTTCTTATCCATTGAATTTGTGAATCGTTAGCTAACGATTCGTTAGCTAGAAGGGCGTACTCAGGGTCAGTATTACACGTAGGAAACCTTGTAGATGTTGAGTGTATTCAGTATGTCTAGTATGTACTATATTTACCTATCTATATCTAATAGGGTATTTTACCCGGGTACCCGGGACCAAACAACGGACGTACCCGGGTCTCGTGTAATTTTGACATATGCGCGTTGGTAGACAAAACGCCTGTAGAAATAAATTTGTTGAGCTTTTTGTCGTTTTAATAACCTAATGCTAAGGCCTCTGAAAGTAGCCGTAGAAGCTATAAGTCGACAAGATGCGAAAATCCTTACGAGCGATGCAATTTTAGCAGTTCTTCTCCGCACTATTAGACAAATTGACACGCCTCTGTCGGACAAGCTTTATTTAGCTCTAGAGAAACGAGTGAAAAAGCGAAGGGATGCACGGTTGTACACACTTTGTAAATCCTGAAAGCCTGTCATCAAGCAGCTTGGAAACTACATCAAAAACGGTGATGATAAAATACGCTGAAAGTTTCTTTGATCGTTTGTTTGCTGCATCGGGTAATGAGGATACGGTGGGCATTCACAACAGTTCTGCTGATGAAGAGGACAACCTCAGTCTGAGAACTCTGAGAGATACGGCTATGGCTATGGCTAACAATAACAATGATAATATATCATTTGAATCTGAATTGAATGAAGCCATAAACAAAGCTACTGCGTCTATTTCGGCAACTAAGATTGATCGCTCTAAGTTAAAGAAGGAATTCCAGGTAATAAATTTTCTTAGAATTAATTTCTTTATTCGTTCTCTTTTATTTTAGAACATAGCAATATCAATATACTTATATAAAAATACTTTTAGAAAAGCTTTATAAAACAAATAACAACAAAGATAACACTATAATATAAAAAATACTTGTTTTGATTAATTTAAGTAAGAAATAATGCCGAATACTTTTTTTCAGTTATTCGAAGTTTCCAAGCAACGCACTTCTAATCTAGTACTTCTTTACAAGGCCCTGTTAACAGTCAAGCCTACATCAACCGACAGCGAAAGAACGTTTTCGGTAGCTGGGAATTTTGTGACAAAAACCAGAAACAGAGTTTCAGATAAATCTCTACATGCAATTGTATTTTTAAAAGCTCGCTTTTTACAAGCTAAGAAAGACTGATAAAGTAATTTATAGACTGACTAAAGAGTGAGTATTGTTTTACTGAAAAAAGTTTAATTGTTTAGTTTATGTACCAGACTTTGGTTCGTTTGTTTTTATTTGATAAAGAAATATACTTAATATACAGAGAAGGTTAGATACTAATATAACTTGATAAATATTTATATCAATGTATAATTGTTTGTATTCATTACTAAAAGTGTGACTGATTGAAGAATTATAGACTGACTAAAGAGTGATTATTGTTTTACTGAAAGAAAATTAATTGTTTAGTTTTATGTACCAGAGTTTGGTTCGTTTGTTTTTATTTGATAAAGATAAACAAACATTGCAGAGGAAAAATGACAAACATTGCAGAGGAAAAATGTTTAATTATCTATTTAGTTTTACCAGAGTGCGGTACGTTTGTTTTTATTTGATAAATAAATAGTTAATATACAGAGATGATTAGATACTAATATAACTTGATAAATATTTATAACAATGTATAATTGTTTGTATTAATTACTAAAAGTGTAACTGATTGAAGAATTTGTTACTTTAATATGTTAATTTAACAGTTCTTAACTTAAGTAATTAGCACTATTTTTGTACCTGGTTGGCTGGTTATATTATCTGAGTTGTAATTATCGTAATAAAAGTAGATTTTTGATATCTTTGTAGTTTTTTTACCCAGTTTTACAAAAAATTCAAGAATACCTGGGTATTTAAAAAATGTACCCGAGACCCGGCTATCTAAAATTGTCGGGTATTTGAAAACCCTAATATCTATACTAATATTATAAAAGAGGAAACGTTTGATTGTTTGATTGTTTGCATCGAATAGGCTTCTAATTAACTACTGGACCCGTTTTAAATATTCTTTTACCTAAGGAAGCTGTGTTATACGCAGCTAACATAGGCTGTAATTTACGCAGGTGAAATCGCGGAAAAACAGCTAGTCGAGTGCGTCCTGCATCACTATACCGCGGTATGAATATTTAACAGAATGAAATATAAAAATAACGCAAATAACCTCGTCTTATATAGTTTGCTCTATGAGCATGTTATAAAGCATGCACGTAATGATACTAACAATGATTATTTATTTAGATATTATAGAAACAAAATTAACATGTTTTCATATTTAACGACGCGTACAACAATAGATGAAACACATTTTGATGTTTTGGTCTTCCTCTTTAATTTTGTGTGATAGACTTCTAATTATTTTAATTAAAAAGTAGCAATAACATAGGTATCTTATATTCTTATTTTTAACAATTTCCAAAACAGTATTTAAAAAAAAATAGAAAGACTTCAAATTTTAAAATGTGAAAAGTAATACTTAACAGTAGTTTAATTTGAAGAAACAAATATTTTGTATAGGTATCTTTAAAATATTAAATATCTAAAAATATTTTTTTATATTTTTTCTTTTATAAAAAATGTTTATAAAAGAAAAAAAGTAGCTCGGTGGCGTAGTGGATAAGCACCGCGGCCCGCGATCGTTGTCGTTAAGTAACTTTCGCAGGGGTCGGTCACGGGATGGGTGACCAAAAATTATTGTCTCAAGCTACTCCGTGCTTCGGAAGGCACGTTAAACCCTTGGTTCCGGCTGCATTTGCAGTCGTTAATACCTTCCAAACCCCATTGGGCAAGCGTGGAGGGTCATGGCCTTGAGCCCCTGCAGTGGGGACGTAAAAGGGCTGGTGATGATGATGATGATAAAAGAAATTAAATTTTTATTTATTTGCACGATGTTACTATGATTAAATCGGTCCACTTACCTATTTGTATAACAGAATAGTACACAGATTCTCTTCTGACACAACCTGTTTAGAAATAGATAATAATAGCAGATTATGTGCGTTCCCGGGTAAAGAGGCCAGTGTGAGTAACAAAAAAAGCTGGCGCTCTGAGAAATATACCAATGTTTATATTTTATTTTAATATAAAGATCTATTCTAGCGCAATTAAAAATATGGAAATTTTCACTGGGACGTAGGCCTTTTACAAATTTTAAAATATTTTTATAGAGGCCTTACACTTTAACACAGTGAACAGTGTTTAGCCCTATATAAATTCATTTTACAATATTAATAATCTCTCCATACACAGGGCAGTTTTACAATTTTAAATCAAATTTCAGTATATTTAAAGTCAAAATACAACAAATTGTCCGTTTTATATGAAAAATATATCAAAATATTAAATAACATAAAAAATAGCGAATATAAAATCATAGTCATAAAATTATTTATATAAATATGGAAGTGGTAATACATTTAATGCTTGAGTTCAAGTAGCCTGCAACACAGGCTGACAGTAAGCATTTCTTTTGTATTTAAAAAGCTCGAATTGCATACCGCAACACAAATGAGACGTAACTATGATATGCTATCAGAGTGGATTGTTTAGAGACCACTTGTCTAGTTCTATTAGGAACAAATATAAATCTGTCTAATTTGGCAGCAATCATGTCTATATGTGTCTTCCTATGTGATTCTGTAATTGAATCTATCGTGATCCTTAAGAAATTTGTTTTATCTCATATTTCTTAAGGCTTATATCTACTGTTCTAGTTTTAGGATTTGTAGTTTTAAATTGTAAGTATTTCGTTTTAATAATGTTAATTTTAAGGTTATTTTTCTCCAGCCACTGTGTGACTTTTCTGAATTCAGTGTTAGTTTCTCGTTCAATATCATCATAACACTGTAACCAAATATTAAAAGATAGGGCTAGCTCAAAAATGTAAGTCTCTCTGACTTAGACTTTTTGAATTTTGGAAGAGGAAGAGAAACTGACGAAGTTGACGTTGTTCATCAGTATCCAGAATGGCTAAGGTTAAGTCTAAAACTGAGGATATCCTTTCAGATACCGATAATGGCACATTACATAATACTGTTGTCAATTCAAATTTACATTGGTTCCTCAGCAGAAACACGGTAGTTTAAAACACTGTACTTTACTAGCGGGGCGCAGTTTGTGTCTGCAAAACACTGTATACTTCGTTATAGTTATTCTGCGAAATTTAACCTTATTTCAAACGTAATACAATATTTTCTTTTGCTTGTAATATTTTTTAAATAATGGTTTATATTAAAAAAAATATCGACTTAAATTTTAACTTTAAAGAAATTGATTGAGCCCTGTTATGCAGAAACACTGTATGTCGACTTACAGTCTTTTTGATTAGTTTCTTAACTTTCTTAACTCATAGTGCAGATGAAATGCAAACTGGCTTAACGTTCCTTCCAAAGCAAGAAAGAGCTCGAAATAATAACTTTTTGGTCAATCATCCTGTCGCCGGCCCTTGCGAAAGTTGTTTAGTTTCCGCGTCGCAAACCGAACGTGCTAACTACTGCGTCATCGAGCTCCTCTGCCTAAAAATAAGCAAAATGTATTCTTGTGCCATAATCTAAGCATTAATTTTTTTCTCAACAAGAAATAAAATCATAACATTTATTTTGTTGTATTATTTTTAGAGATGAACGTGAATGATTTTCTTTTGTACATCAATATAACACACACACAACACAAAACTTCTTCTCATAGAGTCATCAAAAAAGTAATGTTTATGCAATAGTCTCAAGAACAAAGAAAGTCCATATAACGTACTGTCTCATATTTCTTAAATAATTCAGCGACCTCCCTTCGCTTGTGTAATCCCTTTTATTGTACACGTTCAGGATAATACTTAGTATTTAGGTTATCTCGGTAATTTGCTCCAATCCTACTATGTGTGCGCGTATCATTATATATTTGAAACGTATTTCAAATAAAATTTGGGTTAACATAATTTTGTTATATTGTGTTGATTATATTTGGCATACTTTATATTATATTACAATCACTGTAGTTGAGTGGTGCGCCGCCCGTTTATATGTGTCACCATCTCAGATCCCGGATTCTATTACCGGTTGGGCCAATGTAGAAAACGGACTTTTTGTACCTTCTTTGGCTCAGATATTTCGTGATACGGGAGCTTTAGTTACTCATATTGGAATCCAAGCAATGTGATATTGTTTGATGTTTATTTATTTATATCAATTTATTGTAAGAACTCAAATAACGTTTAAAAATTGCTACTAGTTATGTTGAACAGTACTTAAGAACAATTTCCAAAAGACTTCTCTGCATGAAATAAAACAGGTAGAAAAAGTCAGCCCTGGCCGATTTTCTTTGCGGTACTTCTCAGTACAAAGTCTACTCCAACAGTTTTAAGAGAACATATTACTTCCTTTCGGAGATGGTCAAAGTGTTATCTGCAATACGGACAAAATAGAATTAATGTTTCACGAAATTCTCGAAAAATCAAGTACATAACAAAAATAAAGTCAAAGAAACTCAGTGTAAACGAGACAATTCTTCGTAGTCATATAAGTGGAGTGCTAGCGTAGCACACTAGAATATAAAAATACTTCGTAGCTTCCTCGTAGCAATACTCCGCTACGGATAAAAGTAACTAACGCGTAAAAATCGTTCGCGTTAACCAATGAATAGTTTACTGTAAGTACTCGGAGTACATCTATGTTCATATATCTTTTAGGTTAAACGTGTTTCTATTTTATTACAACAGGAGAAATTGAGGTGACCAATAGCAAAATATATATCTAATCACCAATAATATCACTTACAATATTGCGATATTCTTTTATATGTAATTTTCTTAGAAATATCAAAAAAATTGAGAAGACAAACAAAAAATTCATTTACATCTGTAGGTTTTCCGTGCCTTTGTTTACACATATTTCACTTTCATACATTAGACGTACAACATACAAATCAAGAGACCTACTTAATTACTAGAGTTTGTTAATTTTGCAACTAACTACATTAATTAACGTGTTATTAATAAATGTTCACGACTGCAGGGTACTTAAGCGACTGTGCTTCACCTTAGAGCTGTTAGCCTGTTTAATGACATAATGTTATGTTGCATCAAAAGCACATACAAAGATTTATGTAACGAGAGGCAAATCGATAAACCTCTCTCAAGTTGCCTATGCAATATTGAA